GTGGCTAGTTTATTGTGCACTCCACATCCATCCTGTGGAGGGCAGCACAAGCGCATATGGATACACAAAGGCCTAGGAACTACGTCCCCAAATGGATTAACAGGAATACATCTAAATTTACATCTATAGTTCGCTTTTCTGTTGCAAAGAAATTAAGGAAATTTGTTGAATATATCTGGTATCATAATTTCATTAATAAGATATCTTGACATATCACATAGACTGACATACTGTATATCGTTATATTCTTTAATATGTGGATAATTAGGCACATAGTGCTTATGGTGGTGACCACAAGGCTGGCCACATACATGATAGTGAGCACAAGGCTGGCCACATACATGATAGTGACCACAAGGCTGGCCACATACATGATAGTGACCACAAGGCTGGCCACATACATGATAGTGAGCACAAGGCTGGCCACATACATGATAGTGAGCACAAGGCTGGCCACATACATGATAGTGACCACAAGGCTGGCCACATACATGATAGTGAGCACAAGGCTGGCCACATACATGATAGTGAGCACAAGGCTGGCCACATACATGATAGTGAGCACAAGGCTGGCCACATACATGATAGTGAGCACAAGGCTGGCCACATACATGATAAGTGAGCACAAGTGCTGGCCACATACATGATAGTGAGCACAAGGCTGGCCACATACATGATAGTGGCCACAAGGCTGGCCACATACATGATAGTGAGCACAAGGCTGGCCACATACATGATAGTGAGCACAAGGCTGGCCACATACATGATAGTGACCACAAGGCTGGCCACATACATGATAGTGGCCACAAGGCTGGCCACATACATGATAGTGGCCACAAGGCTGGCCACATACATGATAGTGGCCACAAGGCTGGCCACATACATGATAGTGGGCACAAGGCTGGCCACATACATGATAGTGGCCACAAGGCTGGCCACATACATGATAGTGAGCACAAGGCTGGCCACATACATGATAGTGAACACAAGGCTGGCCACATACATGATAGTGACCACAAGGCTGGCCACATACATGATAGTGAGCACAAGGCTGGCCACATACATGATAGTGAGCACAAGACTGGCCACATATATGATAGTGACCACAAGGCTGGCCACATATATGATAGTGACCACAAGGCTGGCCACATACATGATAGTGAGCACAAAGCTGGCCACATATATGATAGTGACCACAAGGCTGCCACATACATGATAGTGACCACAAGGCTGGCCACATACATGATATGACCACAAGCGGCCACATACATGATAGTGACCACAAGGCTGGCCACATACATGATAGTGAGCACAAGGCTGGCCACATACATGATAGTGACCACAAGGCTGGCCACATACATGATAGTGAGCACAAGGCTGGCCACATACATGATAGTGACCACAAGGCTGGCCACATACATGATAGTGAGCACCAAGGCTGGCCACATACATGATAGTAGCCACAAGGCTGGCCACATACATGATAGTGAACCACAAGGCTGGCCACATACTGATAGTGAGCACAAGGCTGGCCACATACATGATAGTGACCACAAGGCTGGCCACATACATGATAGTAGCCACAAGGCTGGCCACATACATGATAGTGACCACAAGGCTGGCCACATACATGATAGTAGCCACAAGGCTGGCCACATACATGATAGTGACCACAAGGCTGGCCACATACATGATAGTAGCCACAAGGCTGGCCACATACATGATAGTGACCACAAGGCTGGCCACATACATGATAGTGACCACAAGGCTGGCCACATACATGATAGTGAGCACAAGGCTGGCCACATACATGATAGTGACCACAAGGCTGGCCACATACATGATAGTAGCCACAAGGCTGGCCACATACATGATGGACCACAAGGCTGGCCACATACATGATAGTGACCACAAGGCAGGCCACATACATGATAGTGAGCACAAGGCTGGCCACATACATGATAGTGAGCACAAGGCTGGCCACATACATGATAGTGACCACAAGGCTGGCCACATACATGATAGTGACCACAAGGCTGGCCACATACATGATAGTAGCCACAAGCTGGCCACATACATGATAGTGACCACAAGGCTGGCCACATACATGATAGTAGCCACAAGGCTGGCCACATACATGATAGTGACCACAAGGCTGGCCACATACATGATAGTAGCCACAAGGCTGGCCACATACATGATAGTGACCACAAGGCTGGCCACATACATGATAGTGACCACAAGGCTGGCCACATACATGATAGTGACCACAAGGCTGGCCACATACATGATAGTGGCCACAAGGCTGGCCACATACATGATAGTGGCCACAAGGCTGGCCACATACATGATAGTAGCCACAAGGCTGGCCACATACATGATAGTAGCCACAAGGCTGGCCACATACATGATAGTGACCACAAGGCTGGCCACATACATGATAGTAGCCACAAGCTGGCCACATACATGATAGTGACCACAAGGCTGGCCACATACATGATAGTGACCACAAGGCTGGCCACATACATGATAGTGAGCACAAGGCTGGCCACATACATGATAGTGACCACAAGGCTGGCCACATACATGATAGTAGCCACAAGGCTGGCCACATACATGATAGTGACCACAAGGCTGGCCACATACATGATAGTGACCACAAGGCTGGCCACATACATGATAGTGACCACAAGGCTGGCCACATACATGATAGTAGCCACAAGGCTGGCCACATACATGATAGTGACCACAAGGCTTGCCACATACATGATAGTAGCCACAAGGCTGGCCACATGCATGTTAGTGAGCACAAGGCTGGCCACATACATGATAGTGGCCACAAGGCTGGCCACATACATGATAGTGAGCACAAGGCTGGCCACATGCATGTTAGTGAGCACAAGGCTGGCCACATACATGATAGTGACCACAAGGCTGGCCACATACATGATAGTGACCACAAGGCTGGCCACATACATGATAGTGGCCACAAGGCTGGCCACATACATGATAGTGGCCACAAGGCTGGCCACATACATGATAGTAGCCACAAGGCTGGCCACATACATGATAGTGACCACAAGGCTGGCCACATACATGATAGTGGCCATAAGGCTGGCCACATACATGATAGTGGCCACAAGGCTGGCCACATACTTTATATTTGGATTGACCATCTGTCTATCTCTCAGACTGCCAGAAGTACTAGTAACCAAACCTAAGACTGACTACTATACTCTCTGTCAAGAAGGAGGGAGGGACACTAAACAGGAAAACATGAGAGGGGGAAGAGAGGGAGGGGCACTAAACAGGAAAACATGAGAGGGGGAAGAGAGGGAGGGGCACTAAACAGGAAAACATGAGATGGGGAAGAGAGGGAGGGCACTAACAGGAAAACATGAGAGGGGGGAAGAGAGGGAGGGCACTAACAGGAAAACATGAGATGGGGGAAGAGAGGGAGGGGCACTAACAGAAAACATGAGAGGGGAAGAGAGGGAGGGGCACTAAACAGGAAAATATGAGAAGGGGGAAGAGAGGAGGTAACTAAACAGGAAAACATGAGAGGGGGAAGAGAGGGAGGGCACTAAACAGGAAAACATGAGAGGGGGAAGAGAGGGAGGGGCACTAAACAGGAAAATATGAGATGGGGAAGAGAGGGAGGGCACTAAACAGGAAAATATGAGAGGGGAGAGAGGGAGGGGCACTAAACAGGAAAATATCAGAGGGGAGAGAGGGAGGGGCACTAAACAGGAAAACATGAGAGGGGAAGAGAGGGAGGGGCACTAAACAGGAAAATATGAGATGGGGGAAGAGAGGAGGGCACTAAACAGGTAAATATGAGAGGGGAGAGAGGGAGGGCACTAAACAGGAAACATGAGAGGGGGAAGAGAGGGAGGGCACTAAACAGGAAAATATGAGATGGGGAAGAGAGGGAGGGGCACTAAACAGGAAAATATGAGATGGGGGAAGAGAGGGAGGGGCACTAAACAGAAAATATGAGATGGGGAAGAGAGGGAGGGGCACTAAACAGGAAAATATGAGAGAGGAGAGAGGGAGGGGCACTAAACAGGAAAATATGAGAGGGGAGAGAGGGAGGGCACTAAACAGGAAAAATGAGAGGGGGAAGAGAGGGAGGGGCACTAAACAGGAAAATATGAGAGAGGAGAGAGGGAGGGCACTAAACAGGAAATATGAGAGGGGAAGAGGGAGGGGCACTAAACAGGAAAACATGAGAGGGGGGAAGAGAGGGAGGGGCACTAAACAGGAAAATAGGAGGGGAGAGAGGGAGGGGCACTAAACAGGAAAACATGAGAGGGGGAAGAGAGGGAGGGCACTAAACAGGAAAATATGAGAGGGGGGAAAGAGGGAGGGCACTAAACAGGAAAATATGAGAGGGGGAAGAGAGGGAGGGGCACTAAACAAGAAAATATGAGAGGGGGAAGAGAGGGAGGGGCACTAAACAGGAAAACATGAGAGGGGAGGAAGAGAGGGAGGGGCACTAAACAGGAAAACATGAGAGGGGGGAAGAGAGGGAGGGGCACTAAACAGGAAAACATGAGAGGGGGAGAAAGAGAGGGAGGGGCACTAAACAGGAAAAATGAGAGGGAGGAAGAGAGGGAGGGGCACTAAACAGGAAAAATGAGAGGGGAGGAAGAGAGGGAGGGGCACTAAACAGGAAAAATGAGAGGGGAGGAAGAGAGGGAGGGGCACTAAACAGGAAAACATGAAACTTTTCCACTTCCTAACAACTCTGTGGCTGAAGAAATACTTCCTAACATCCCTTTGACTCATCTGAGTTTTCAGCTTCCAATTGTGACCCCTTGTTTCTGTGTCCCATCTCTGGAACATCCTATCTCCTGTGTGTGCGTGTGTTAGTTGTGTGTGTGTGTGTGTGTGTGTGTGTGTGTGTGTGTGTGTGTGTGTGTGTTTGTGTGTGTGTGTGTGTGTGTGTTTGTGTGTGTGTGTGTGTGGTATCTGGCAGCTCCACCAGCTAGTAGTGT